CTTAAGTGTTCCACTGTCACCGGTCGTCGCTCGATACCAAGTGTCACGTTCTCAGTGGGTCGTAGAATTGGCCACGTGTAAAATTTAAGGAAATGAGTTTCATGAAGGATCACAAATCAGCTCTGTGATGTATTTTGTCCAGCCTTTTATCTCAACTTTGGATTGTGGGCATTTTCTTTTTTATTTTCCTTTTTAGAGAGATTTTTGCTATAGAACATGTGTGCTTGCCAGAGAGACAGAAAGTGAGAAATCATCTGAGCCAGGCGGGCTGGCCAGGCCACAGTCTCTTCTCCTCCATTCTCCTCCTGGGACTTTGAGCGCACACACACGCACCAGGCATGAGGTTTAAGCCACCGGTGCAGGACTGGAAGGGAGTTCAGCAAAGTAACCACGCCAATCTGCTGGTCCCTGATTGTGGGCATTTATTTTCTAAATCACCAAATTGCACTTTTAAACCTTTACAGGCACGGAGTTTAGCCATCAAGATTAAAAAATGTACATTTTGCATGTGGGACACTTGGATAAATATTTTGTGCAAGATTAGGAAAACATTTGTGTTACTGAAACAGATTCTATCTAAAACTTTTCTTCCCAATACTAAGTCTGAAAATCTCTCTCTCTCTCTCTTTTTTTTTTTTTTTTTTTTAAGAGAGGTTTTTGCTATAAGGCATGTGTGCTTGCTGGAGAGAAGAGAGAGACAGTAAAACAGAAAGTGAGAAATCAGGGAGGGTGGCCATGATGCAACCCCTTCTCTGTTATCCTCTTGGGATTTTAGGCATGCATGCACATGCACCTGGTGTGAGTTTTAAGTCACCAGCTCCAGGACTCGAACCATGTTCAACTACGTGGCAGTCCAGTGACATAACCACTATGCCATCTGCTGGTCCCAAGTCTGAAAATCTTTATGCCATGAAGGAGAGAGAAGAAGAGAGCACCCCCAAAAGAGTCCCATTGCCACCATCCACCCAGCCTCAGCCAGCCTGGATCCTGGCTCTGTGCCAGCCTGCGGGGCCAGTCGGCAGCCCAGCGCAGAGTGGTCTGCCCTGCAGGGTGTCTGCTCATTGACCGCCACTGTCAGGCCCTTCCCCTGACTTCTTGCAAAAGAATATTGGGGGATTTTCTAGCCATGGTGAGGGGAGGACTTACTTTCTGTGTCATTAGGTCCACAAGAATATGTGAAAAAGAAAAGCATTGACCTCAACACCAACCATGTCTACACACGGTTACTGTATAAACCCAGAGGCACTTAATACTTATAATGAAGACAAAAGCACATAGAAAACAATTACGTTTCTTTTAAATCATAGTTTACAGCAAACTGATTGAATTGAAAAGTAATTAAACAAGAAAACATCAATTAGATATCTAGCCTCTGTCGTGTAATTATATTGTTTTATTTCCCATGTTTCATAATTGTTGCCAAGCAGCTTTTAAATCCTATCATTAGTTTTCCAGAAAAAGAAACCGAAAAGTGTCACATGTTTGGGGACTTAGGAGGTAGGCTGCTGCCGAAATCGGTCCCCCTTTCCAGCAGCTGCTCTCGGCGAACTGGATTTTCCTAACGTCCTGGCCTGTGGGGAATGTTTGAGCTCACTGAGTTCCAGTTCTGAGAGTCAATGCTGCAGGTCGAGCGTGTTGTATGCACAGCAGCCAAATCGAAACCCTCAAGCCCCCGCCAACACCGCTTCCCCACTCTTCACGTTGGGCCAGACAGACAAGAACTTTAAAAACGAGTTTGTTTCTGGGCCCGCAGGTGGTGTGGTAGTTGAGGCACTGGGTGCCACATGGCTGACAAAGAGTTCTAGTCCCAGATTTGGCATCTTAAAAAACTTGCCAGGTATGTGTCCATGTGCCCCAAATCCGGCGAGAACAGATGACAAGGGATTGTAATGCGGCCATCCTCCCCGAGGTGAGATTTCTCACTTTCTCTCTTTGTCTCTCTGGTGAATACATACAGCTTATGGCAAAGTTAAAATAATCATAATCCCCCAAATCTAGTTGGTTTTCAAGGTAGAAGAAGCCAAGATAGCTCCACGTACATGGATCACCAAGGGGGCAGGGTAAACAGAACGAAGGGTCGCAGAAAGTGGTCTCTACTGAACTCTTTAAATGAATCTCCTTTTGCTCGCCCATCCCCACGTTCACCTTTCCGGAATAACCTATCACTAGGTGCTGAACTGAAGAGCAATGTTTCTCAAAATCAGATGTCCAGGTGCTAACAACGTCCATGTCTGTGTTATACAGAAAGCGACGTCGACTTGGCTCCCTGTGTGTGATCTGCAGCCCGGCTGGCGGGCCGGGGCTCTCACTCCCAGCGCCCTCCCTCAGGACCCCAGTCTCCTTCTGGTGGGTCCTTTCCCTCCTTGGGCCTAGTGAGAACAACAGCCTGCTTTGACCCACGGTGGGATTCCGCTCCACACGCATGAGCACGCTGGGCACCATCACAGCCACTGACTTTCGTGACCATAAACGCATTGATACTTGTAAAGTCCTGGGAGAAAGTTGGGTTTTACTTTCAACATTTTTTTTCTATTATTTTTTTTATGTAAGAAAGAGATACAGGGATAGAGATAGGAGGAGACAAACAGAAAGCACCCCAGTGGGTCCCCACACCTCAGTCCACCCACAATCTCCGCTGGCTTGGAGTGCAGGCAGCCATGTCTACCCAGCAAGCTCAGGAAGTCCCGGGATATGGTCCTCGAACTCTCCTATGCGGTCCGGTTGCATTAATAGGGCCCTACCACCTGGCCTGGCCTCTACTTTTGTAACTTTTTCCTTTTTTTTTTTTTTTTTTTTTTTTGATAAAGGGCACCTACACTTGCCAGAGAGCTTTCTCAACCTACAGAGTCCAGGGCTAAATCACACAGTCAGCCAAGTGGGACATAGTCACCCTAACCACCAGGCCATGGAGTCGGCCCCTAGACCCCTCCTTTAAGCTTCTTAATATCATGTAGCGCGGGTTCAGAAAGATTTCGTCTACACCTGGCCTTACAAGGCTGGTAGCTGACTGAGGGAGCCAGAATTAGTTCTGCTTTATCTTCTCTGGCAGCCGGCCCCAGTGACCGCGTTCCCATTGACTTGTCCCGAAAGTCCTTTGGTGTTTATGGAAAGGGCACGTGACCTCATGTGAGAGCTGCTTTGCACTGCTCTGACGAACCCTCTCCAGGGTCTTAGCCCTTTACCTGGATTTCAAACTCCTCTCTGGTACCTCTCCCGAAGGTGCACCGCCTAGCACCACGGTTTCAGCAGAGGGCGAGGGTGGAGGTGCCAGCCCACCAGGGAACGTCACTCCTTCGCTGACAGCAACTGTACTGCCCTGCGCAAACCTAGCTCCTCCTCCGCTAGACCTCGCCTCGGCCTCCTATCACACTTCTTTATTTCTGGTAGGTGTTCGTTTCTTCGCTCTCAGCCGGGATGTGCAGTCCGATTCTTGCCCCCCGGCCTGTTCACATGCTGTGTTTCCAACACCCACCTGTCGCTGTCTGGCCTGTCCCAGTGAGGTCCATTTGCCCATGACCACACTCACCTTGAGCAGCCGGGCGTTAGGTGTGGGCTTGTCTTCACACCGAGCTGATAGCACACCTCGGCACCCTTTCTGGGCACGCCGTGTAGCCAGCTCTTCCTTCTGCCCTCTTTCCTCAGCCGTCGTACTGGAGCTGTGCATTGGCATAGCTCTTAGGAGCTCAGGGAGCGTCCAGATTCCTTCTGACTGTGGGCTCCCTAGCCGTGCCTGCTCTGCTTCCTCCCACAGCCACTAGGATCTTCTGCTTCCCATGCTGCCCTTCGGATATGGTCAAGGGGAGGACGTGTCACATTCGTCTCCGCAGGAGAAGGCCGACTTGTGGCTGGGCCACTGATGCCCACTTAACACTGAGGCCCCTCAAAGCTGCGTCTTACTTGCCGCCTCTTGTTAAAACAAGGTTCTTTCCACCCTGAGCGGGTCTCTCGCACCAAGAAGTAAGGTGGCCAGTCCACTGTAGCAAACCAGAAACACATTTGAACGGTCCCCACCTTAACTTGGCACCGGTCAGCGCTGGTTACTCCAGGAAGGTGTACCTATGTTAAATGCATCATCAGTATTAAAAGCTCTTTGTCATAATAGCCGAGTATGGTTCTAACTTTGGCGGAGTTTCAGAGTGCCTGCCAGCAGGATGCTGACATGTGGGAAGTTGTGGAGCAGCCACGGTTGCACTGAAATCCCCCTTCAGAGCAGTTCAGAACAGACGTGCATTTGAAGACAATCCTTCTCTTACAGTCTCTTAGCTTAAATGATGCTTTTCTGCCTGGAGTCGCCAGGAAGGCTACCAACCGCTGTCTGAAATGAAGGCCTCCTTCCTAATTCGCACACAGGAAGCGCAGCTCACCTCTTAGAAAGCCCCAAGAGCATCCGTCCTGGCGGCCGCCCTAGCGTGGACACTGAGCTAACCACCAGGAGGAAAGCGCCCAGGCCCGGCCTCTCCTGCAGACCTGCCCATGTCTGCTGGGACGTGGCTGCTGTGTTGCTCTCTACTTTCGTGACCCTAATAAGCTAACTTAAGACAGTGTTTTGGTGCCAGGCCAGCATGGTCTGGTGGTTACGGCGGCTGGATCCCACATGGTCTGCCAACCACTAGTTCCAGTCCCCGACCCTGCGGTTTGAGAAACACGAGGTGTGCGGGTGCAAGTGTGCACAAATCCCGAGGGGAGGGGAGGGAGAGATGGCGAAAGGCCTGCCCCAAGACGACTCCCCACAGGGGCCGCTCCGCCTTGCAAATGACCAACAAGTGAGTTACCGGTGGTGACTGCCGGCTCTGCTCGCCACTCTCCCCGGTTCTTGAGCCTCGCCGCCGCGTGGACCCGAGGAAACCAGAGCAGGCGGACAGCCCCGATGGCGCGGGCCC